TTTTTTTGAAAAATGTTGTGAGATATTAAATTAGGAATTTTAATTTTTTCATTCCTGATTCACAAGTTAAATTAATGCAAGATTTCATTTGAAATTAGCAATGAATTCGTTTGTAATTATTTTGGTTTGTAACTGTGTGTTAACTACGTCTAATAGAGTATTATAAAAGCTATTAATGTCTTTTTTTTTTATTAAATATATGGATTTTTATGACAAATTCACAAATATACACATTAATACGTGGAATTCTTAAATTATTTTTTTTTTTTTTTGAAAAATGTTGTGAAATATTAAATTAGGAATTTTAATTTTTTCATTCCTGATTCACAAGTTAAATTGATGCAAGATTTCATTTGGAACTAGGAGTGAATTCGTTTGTAATTATTTTGGTTTGTAACTGTGTGTTAGCTACGTTTAATAGAGTATTATAAAAGCTATTAATGTTCTTTTTTTTTATTAAATATTTGGATTTTCATGTGAAATTCACAAATATACATACGTTGAATTCTTAAATTATTTTTTTTTTTTTTGAAAAATGTTGTGAGATATTAAATTAGGAATTTTAATTTTTTCATTCCTGATTCATAAGTTAAATTAATGCAAGATTTCATTTGAAATTAGCAATGAATTCGTTTGTAATTATTTTGGTTTGTAACTGTGTGTTAGCTACGTTTAATAGAGTATTATAAAAGCTATTAATGTCTTTTTTTTTATTAAATATATGGATTTTTATGACAAATTCACAAATATACATATTAATACGTTGAATTCTTAAATTATTTTCTTTTTTTTTTTGAAAAATGTTGTGAGATATTAAATTAGGAATTTTAATATTTTCATCCCTGATTCACAAGTTAAATTGATGCAAGATTTCATTTGGAATTAGGAGTGAATTCGTTTGTAATTATTTTGGTTTGTAACTGTGTATTAGCTACGTTTAATAGAGTATTATAAAAGCTATTAATGTCTTTTTTTTTATTAAATATATGGATTTTTATGTCAAATTCACAAATATACATATTAATACGTTGAATTCTTAAATTATCTTTTTTTTTTTTTGAAAAATGTTGTGAGATATTAAATTAGGAATTTTAATTTTTTCATTCCTGATTCACAAGTTAAATTAATGCAAGATTTCATTTGAAATTAGCAATGAATTCGTTTGTAATTATTTTGGTTTGTAACTGTGTGTTAACTACGTCTAATAGAGTATTATAAAAGCTATTAATGTGTTTTTTTTTATTAAATATTTGGATTTTTATGTGAAATTCACAAATATACACATTAATACGTAGAATTCTTAAATTATCTCTTTTTTTTTGAAAAATGTTGTGAGATATTAAATTAGGAATTTTAATTTTTTCATTCCTGATTCACAAGTTAAATTAATGCAAGGTTTCATTTGGAATTAGCAATGAATTCGTTTGTAATTATTTTGGTTTGTAACTGTATGTTATCTACGTTTAATAGAGTATTATAAAAGCTATTAATGTGTTTTTTTTTTTATTAAATATTTGAATTTTTATGTGAAATTCACAAATATACACATTAATACGTAGAATTCTTAAATTATCTCTTTTTTTTGAAAAATGTTGTCAGATATTAAATTAGGAATTTTAATTTTTTCATTCCTGATTCACAAGTTAAATTAATGCAAGGTTTCATTTGGAATTAGCAATGAATTCGTTTGTAATTATTTTGGTTTGTAACTGTATGTTATCTACGTTTAATAGAGTATTATAAAAGCTATTAATGTGTTTTTTTTTTTATTAAATATTTGAATTTTTATGTGAAATTCACAAATATACACATTAATACGTAGAATTCTTAAATTATCTCTTTTTTTTGAAAAATGTTGTCAGATATTAAATTAGGAATTTTAATTTTTTCATTCCTGATTCACAAGTTAAATTAATGCAAGGTTTCATTTGGAATTAGCAATGAATTCGTTTGTAATTATTTTGGTTTGTAACTGTATGGTAGCTATGTGTAATAGAATATAATGAAAGCTATTGCGTGGTAATAAAATTAATGTTTTTCTTTTTATTAAGCATCTGGAATCTTATATGAGATTCACGAATACATTAATACATTAAATTTTTAAATTATCTTTTTTTGGAAAAGAAAAAAAATTGTCAAATATTAGGTAGTAGGATCTTAGTTTTCATCTCCAAATTTTTTCACATTCTGAATATTCCTCCGAAATCAATCAAATTAATGCCAAAATTAATCTAAATCAAAGCAAAGTTTCATTTCCAATTATTTTAATTTGTAACATTGCATTCTATTATTGAGCCTATGAAAAGAAATTCCAAGGATTTACTTAACATTTTCTTGTATCGTACCAATATATTTTGTATTTCAAATGTTTTTAATCGTTACTCTATCGTGTAACTGTAAACGGAATCGCGTAACCGCGAATATTATGTGCAGAAAAGAAGAAAGCAGAAACGCCACGTAATTGTACAAAAAAAAAGAAAATACTGTGTAAAACGAAACTCGAGCAGTACAAGCGGTGTACCTTTCGAAGCTCATCGACGGAAAACGTAAGGAACGAAGAATGTAGAAACGAAAATGTAGAAAGCCAGCGAAGAAGAGAAAGAAGAAGAAGAAGAAGAAGAAGAAGAAGAAAAACGACCATACCATAGCCTTATCGATAATGATGGCAGTTTCGATGTATTTGGTTGCTTCACGGACGTCTCTCTTGTATCGATCGGAAGTGGTCTCCGATAGCCCCAGAACATGCTTCTGCCGGCGGTTCTTTGGACGCCAGTCAAGATTCCCCGCGTTAGCGCAGCCTTTGTTAGCCTTTGTTCGAGCTTCAAATATAACGTGAGGATGTTTCTGCTAAAAGAGAGGTCTGCATATAGTTAACATTCTCCGAACAGCCCGCCGTCCGCCTTTTAACGCCCGCCTCTTCTCTCCTCTCTATTCGATTATGGCTTATACCCACGAAGAGCGCGGGCTTTTTTGTTCTCGCATCTGCGCCGAGGATTATGACCTACTATCGGCGTCCAACTTTTTCTCGGTTAATCGTTATGACTAGCATTTCGAAGAATCCACCGAACCGTCCACGCGTCCCGAATCCGTCCATCCACCCATCGCCCCCCTCCCCCTCCCCTTTCCACCCTCTCTCGTCCTTTTATTCAATTGATTTCACGTACACAGGGTGTACCGAGTATCAGATTAAAAAAGAGAGGAGAACATTTTTATCGTAACAAGGGAAGTTGGGGAATCTGAAAATTTGGAAAAAGAAAAAAAAAATGAAACTTCGCACACGAGTACAGCAATTCATGCACAGTGCAAATTTTTTTTTTTTTTTTTTTTTTTTTTCGTGCCAACAAACTGTTTTTCGCTACTCGATATACTTGTGACACGTTCATTTTTTTTAAGGTGGAGATACGACGTATTTTCGTCGCTTTTTTTGAAAAGAGCATGCCCCCGTCGTGTTTAGTTTTAGTCTCTTTAACATCGCCCCTTTGTAAATTCCGTGTCTTTGAAAAGTCGCTGGAGCTTACGTCGCGACGCGGATGTGCAAAGCGACGTTTATATCTCCACGTGTAAGCTGATGCTAAAGGTCGTCCGCTTGGTTAGTGTTTGTACTACTGCTGTTCATTCGCGTAACAACTGTGTCATTAATGAAAGCAGAGGTAAGGAGAAAGAAATGAAATACGTTTTATATGTTATACATGTATAGCCAGTTAAATTATTAGAGAAAATTTCTCGAAATTTTCAAATTGACGTAAATTTGCTTCCATTTCGCGGAAAATCATTTTGAAAAAAAAAAAAAAAAAAAAAAAACATTCGTGATATAATGTACATTAAATTCGTAAATGCGCCGCCCAAGGCCACGTCACGCTGCAGCAAACCCCCAACCCCCTTCCTCTTAATATCGTCATTTTGACTCCGCTCACGGACAGTTCTGGATGTATGTATCTCGTTGATTCGGGCGCTGCAGAGGGAGTAGGTGCGTCACACCCACCAGTGGCAAGGGTGGGAGAAAGAGGTGGGGTGCACCGCATCGTCGATCCACCCCTGCCTGCTTCACTGTGTTTACAGATTCATATCCTGTTTCCTTGCTGTTTCTCTGAGAATTGTGTTTCCCTTCTACGTCTCTTTTTCACCGTTTCGGCAATAGTTAATGTCGCGTAGCTTAATTTATCTCTTCTATTACATCACCTATCGTACAATGTTACAAATGTTACTAGGGAAAAAAAAAATAAACCTCGCGTACATGCAAATTAATCCTTGAAGTTTCATAGGCTATAAATAGAAATTTAATAGCTACGACGTAATCTGTAGAATAATCGGAATCTACGGTACGGCAAAGAAAGAATAGAGATCACCGGTTTACAGCTGGCGAGAGGAGCAAAGGGGCGGGATGAATTTTGCAGGAAGGAGCTTGTCGATCGTGCAGAACAGAGAGCGCGATAGAATTGTGTTGCGGGGCGAAGGGGGAGCGAAGGTTAGTCCATAGGGCCAGGCAAGTCCCGCTGTATTGACGCGCGGCGCACAGGCTTGCGCGAGATGACGCAATCTCCCTCCAATGCGCCCCGCTTTGCCCGTGCCACATTCTGCTCCCCACTCTGCTTCCCTCGTGTCGCTCGTGTTCCACTCCTCTCTCCTGCTTCACCCGGCAGCTCCCATAAGTTCAATGCCAAGGTCAAAACGTCCACGACTCGTAGCCGTGTCGGTCGCGATACTCGTTCGCTGAGAGAAGAAGCGGCCTGTGTGCATGTGTGGAATGTGTGCGTGTGTTTGCCCGTGCTTTCTCCTCTGATCGGTGTGTGTTACCTTTTGCTTTTGCTGGTATCACTTGTCGCCGTTGTTATCTGCCGTTTCATCGAGCGTATCGTTTCGTGTTCAGCTTTTCCCCCAGTCGTGTGTCGCGCGCGCTTTTTCAACCGGTTTCTCTCCTAAACCGGTAAGCACGCGCGGTCTGTGTGCCATAGTTTTCTTCGTGTATACGCAGTTTCGTTTCGCATTGCGCGACTAACCTACATTGCACTACACGCACACGGACATGTTGAATTACGCGAAGTTCAGATGTGCCTATGGGTCACTCAGTGAGAAAGAGCGTGTTGTCGTCCGCGCAAGGGCAATCGAAACGGGATGAAATTGTTACGCGAGTAATGTTAGACGTGTATGCAGTTAGCCGAGGAATGCAGTTGCAGCCCAGTGTATTTTAGGATCGTCTTGGGCCGCAGGCAGAATTATGGTGCAGGTGCGTGAATATGGGAAATGGAGGACGAAAGTACATAATATAGAACGTTCTGCGTGGCAAATGCGGATACGCGTCATTTCGAGAATGAATACAAACCTATCGTTCAGTTTTCTCTTCCTCTCCCCACTGTGTGCTTGACGTCGTGGACAAGATGGCGGTTTTCGATAGACCCCGGGACACGTTAAAGCTTTAGTACGCGGGGGTGGTGGTCGACGTTCCTAAATGTGTTACGTGGTATTATTATCGTTTGAAATATCTGTCGTTGCTTTTTAATAAAAGCGAACGTTTATTTAAGGATTTACTAATAACTTAATATCGTAGTGTAATAACGTTAATTTTGTGTACCATATTTTCATGTATTTATCGTATTGATAGCTCAAATAGAGCCGAATAATGCAGTGCAATTTTGTAAATCGCGTACGAAAGCATCCGTGTTTCAGGAACACTTAAATTTAGTATGAAGTGTTAACACGGGTGTCTAACGCAAGGGAGTTAACGATACGCGTGTTGCTGTCAGTGTCAAGGTTAATGCTGTAAATCACGCGAGCCCATATCCTTCGCTCGATTCTCACTGGTTAATACAAGCTGGGGTTGGTAATACGGTCCTGTATCACTCAACTAGATAATCTATAATCGTTATGCCATTACATCGTAACATGTAAGCCTGTGAACCCCTCTCATACGTCTCGTAACATGATCAATTGGTCATGCAGATTTTTCCAGCTTCGTTTTCATTCGTCGTTTCTTTATGTCCCCCCTCAACATTGCCACGGCCGGTAATATCGATTATCATGCTATATCTATCATCGAATAGCATAGACTTTTTAACCTTGACCCTTGTTCTCCGGGATTCTTACGTGCGTGCGGGCTTCGCGGCGTTTCCTATTTAGTCGAACAGGTACATAGAGATGATCCATTCATCTACGTATTTAATGCAATTCTGCCGATAATGTAATTGACAACTTTGCCCTTTCCATTTAGTGCCCTAGTTTCCTACGTTGCTACTAGTCCTATTCTCTGTGTGGGTTAACCTCATCCCTATGCACATTCCTTTAGATTTCTCTACTTTTCATCTTTCGCTACTTTTCTTCTCTAACTAGTATGGTAGTTGTTAATGCGTATCATTTAATATCGTAATGCTTAATATTTTTTATTTATAAGTTGACATTATTTTTACAAAATATATTGAATTATTTCTATGTAATATATCTTTTTTTTCATTGTTTACAATTCTTCACGTGAAAAACTCAGCATAATATTGACAATAACTATATTTTCTGAAATATTCTTCCGCTGTTATTCAGTTACTCTTAGCTTCCGCTAATTTAGTAGCCCATTTTGAGGCAATTTCTGAGGCTTTTGCTACTCTATTTGCCTCTTGCATAATCGTCGGCACGGAGCTCATAATCAACGTGACATATGTAGTGTACTGTTTTCGTGTTTCCTTCTGAACGTACGGTGACGTGTGATGCAACGAGAGTGGGAAACGTTGATCGGTATTTCGTGTTTTTACCGCACTCGTATGTGTTTTATAGTCTGTTCGTGAAAATAGCAGAGCGAAGACCGACAGGTACTGTTGGTTTAAGCTCGATCAACTGTGAATTTCGTTTGGAACGTGATGAAAATGAACGTCTGCAACGCCCCCCCAGTATATTTTCGATGCAATCGCCTTGAGTTTTATTATTAGATATCAATTTCCGTGTTCTGACGCCGCGGATTTTTCTGCGCCGATATTTAGATAAAAACAAAGAGCTTTTTTTTAATGCTTATGCACATTTGATTAGATTTAGTTAGAACGGTGTATTTAATTAGTATATTCCTTTTTTTTCTTTTTTTTTCTTTTTTTTTTTTTGTTTTTCAGGTGACAAATTTCGCCTGGTTCTTGCGACGACCTTAAGAGAGGACGGTTATCCCGATGTAGGGGAGTGGAACGCAACGGAACAGGAAGGCGGTTCCAGAGCAGACAGTTTCGAATACGTGATGTCCGGCATGGTTTATCGAATTGAAGGCGACGAGGCAAACAACGAACCTAGCAGCAGACTGTAAGTGATTCTTTTTTTTTTTTTTTTTTTTTTTTTTTTATTTTTGTATTTTTGATTCCCTCTAAGTAACATTTTGATGGATCTTTCAACAGAATAAAATACAAGCCATTTTCGGAATGTCCAGATTTTGTAAATAATATCGGAAGAACAGATTCGAAATTTTTTCTTCGTGTTTGCATCTCTTGAAACATCCTTTTTTTTTGGAATATCTTGTTCACAGTAAGATAGTTATGAAGATTACCAAAAAAAAATCATACAAAAAGAGAGATCATAGTCTTTCTCGTTGAAAAGATACATGTATCTGAAACACGTCATGTGTGCATCGTTATTTTATTCTGTTACGATCCCACCGTAATCGCTTGGCGTATCGTGCGTGCACGCACGCACACGTCACGCTGTGACGTCATTTGCACGCGTCGACGTGCGTAAACGCGCCCTCTTCCTACTGTGATCTCCGATTGGCTCGCTTCCAGTGCTCAATGAAGTTCCGTAAGAGTTTTTGAGACGTTCGAAAAATCTCTAGGAACGTACTTCGGTTGAACATGAACAATCGATGAAGAAAAACGAATTAACGTGAAAAACGCGTTTGTTGTGTTAAACAATTAAGCTACCTCAAACAATTTGCATAATATATACTAATCTGTGATAAAAACGTAAATACTAGTGACGTTGGTGGCTTGATGGTAAAAAAAAAAAAAAAAAAAAAATTGACAAACAATCCTGCGATAAAGGAAATTTATCGTTTCTTGGAATTTTGCATGTAAATTTCACATTAGTTTCATATATTTCACAAATTAACTGTCTTACTAGTTACACATTTTATATAAATGAGAAAATTCTTAATTTGTTAGAAGAAAGTTATTTTGTTGGAAGAGCTTCCGCGATAACCCTGGTTTGACCGATTTATCGTTAAACCTTGAAACTCGACTGCTGCCGCGTGCAATGTATATAGCAAAAGCCGCTTTGATGTCTGATCATTGCCGGTCTCTATTGTAAACTGTACCGCGCGAACTCTTTCGCCATTGTGTACACGTTTGGATTCGCATATGTCGCATATGAGAATAGAGAAGAATGCAGCGTGGGCGACATTTGATAAGATAAGACCAAGCGAACTCGTTGTGTTGTGCGTAAACAGATTTTAAATCGTTTCGCAAAGGTTATGCAATTATTTTGCTTCGCTAATTACACCGCGTGTGTACCGCGTTTTGTATTTTTCCACTCTCATTATTCACGTTCCGTTTTTTTCTTGTATTATTTTAAGAAGTTAGTTATCGTACGAAAAAAATAGAACGAATGATCGTCAGGCATATACTAAAAGGTTAGATTGATCGATTGTTGTGAGTTGGAGTTGGTGAGTTTTTTATTTCGTAAATCGTGTCTTGGCATTATAGAAAATTTGATAGAAAAATTTATTCAGTCTGAGTTTATCATTCTCAGTCTCAGTCTTGCTCGTTAAAAAGAAACTTTTTTCCTGCATTGTACGCATTAGTAATACATCTATTCATCAATCTCATTACATAGTCATCGGTTATTTCTATTTTTGTGTAAATGCTTCCATTCGCTTTTTATCGTCAGGTTTTGCCGTCTTCGACGTGTCTTGAAAAACTACTTTTGACATCATTTTGATTCTCAGGAGTGAAACCTACAAAAATTTTGATAGCTGAACATTTATTACGATAACGAAACTGTAGAAATAATGTTGAAGTAACAACAATGAATGGAAGTACAATGAAGATCCACGGGGCCCTTTTTTGAAAGCATCAACCGAATAAAAACCGTGGAAAAGCTCGATTTATCAATTCAGCCTGTTCGGTCGGTAAGAGCGAAACGGAAATAGCGAAACGAGCTCTCGGAGAACAGGGAGCCACTCTGCGTTCACTCGGTGGGTAATGAAGCGGGTGAACACAGCTGGTGGTATCTCAGTTTTCTGAGGGCGTTAGCAGCCTATTGAGTTACCTGCTGATCCCCCCTCCCCTATGGTGGTTGTATGGAAGGACAATAAAGCGAGGTAACAGAAAAAATGGACTTGGACAAGACTTAAAAAACTACACTTTAACCGGAGAGAAACATCAAATACAAAAATCTTCATTAATACTCGTGGGATAACATGACACTGCGTGCTTAACAATTTATGGATTTAAAGTCGTAAAAGTTCGCCATAGTTGGATAATATTTAACATTCTGTATTAGGAAAGCAGCTTAAATATTTACGTACGTGATTAGATTCTGTGCAAATATCAGCGACTCGTAGATAACGAGAGTTAAAAATTATCAAGAGTGCTCGATGGACAATTGGTTCCAAATCCAGGTGATTTCACGCGGCCCACTGTGTGGTACGTCTCTGCTGATATCGCCAGTCTACGAAATAGGGGCGTGATAGGTGGGAAATGAATTATTGATCGGGGTCGCTAGAGTCCCGAAGATTGATATAACCAATCCTTTGGGCGAGTTGAACAATGCGCAGGTATTCGTGTTGTCGTTAATAATGAAGCAACTCTGAAGATAACACTGAGCTTTTAGTCCTCGTTGAATTTCTCTTTGATCGAATCATCTTTCAACTTGTTTGCTCAAAAAGTACTTTCTTTACTCAAGTATTTATTAATGTAAACAAGTAGAAATGTGAAATATGAAGACCCTTTGTAATGCTTTTCCTCTCGGTGCAAGTTGCGCGTGCGTGTAACGCGCATGCGTGGCCGCCATTAGTCGCACGTTTAAATTGGTTTATGGCGCGCGGCGCGCTAGGATGCGCACAAGGTCGAGCGGGCTGTCAAAATCAGCTGACGCTCTGGTGACCAATCAGCTGATCCTCAGCTTCTCAGCAGAAGACTTTCTTCCTAGTCGCGAAGCCTTCAGAGGGCGCTAACTTCTCATTATGTGTTTCATTAATCATTAACCAGTGGTTCTTCGAAAGGTTCTCTTACGCTTCATTCTACGAATTAATCTCGCTGTTAAAAGAATTTAAATTTGAAGAAAATTTTCGAGTTTTAGTTTTTGTTAAAGCGGCCGATAGAAATTGAAAACAATTAAATACTAGCGCTGGCTTTAATTGAAAGTTTCGTTCGCATTGAGATTTAACGTTGTAAGTCGGTTAACCCAGAAAACAAAAGAGTCAGGTGTAACACGATGTAATTAAATACCCAATGGATATTCTTGCGAGAGGCTAATATAGTTAGAGAAACCGCACTTCGAGTTCCTGCGATGCATTCATCAGATCATTTGCGACGTTAACGTTGAGCATGACATCATCGTCAGCCATGTAAATGTAAACTATTTTTCCTCGGGTAAGAATCCTTTTAATTCCAAATTATTACCTGTCTACGATGATTAAAAATTCTATCCGCAGGAGTAACAGCTTCATGAACCGAGGAGTGTGTTATTCAACGCGCCGATGATTAATCGTTATCTCCTTAACATCGCGTTGGAAAACGCAGGCTGGAAATAATATAATACATCGACAGTGTGTACCGTTAGCTAGTAGCGCGTGAATACAAGCATTATAATATAGATAGCGATAGTGTAATTGGAATAATTGTTTTCGGTTATTGCGTTAGTCTAGAGCAACGATCATTTTTATATCGGTCCTCAATCAGCATTTGCTGGTATCGAAACTTCATCATGGATACTTGCTGTTATTATACTGTTATCTAAACCGGAGGATGTTTAGAATTTAAATTGGAAATGCGTTTCATCCTCCAAGTATTATAATTATAGTACGTTAAATACATAACACGTGAATGCATAAATATATTCGCAGTCTACTGATACGATTTATAAATATACATGAACTTGAGATTGACAGTAATTATCAGTATCTAGAAATAATTGCACACTTAGTGATATATTTCTCGATTAAATTGCAAATTCTTTTTTTTAAATTTATTCTAGGAATTTATTTTGCTAAACACGTAGGTATTAAGATCAGCAGGATCAACATTGTCACGCGTGTGGGCGAATAGCTCTGGATCCAAGGTTTTAACGCGTTCTACACACCTCGCTATAGTATTCCAATTTACATATGAAACTTCATTACCCTTCAACTAGAAAATGAGTCAACCAGAAATCCGTGAAAATATCACAAGTCTCGTCTATCTGTCTATATTTAACAAGTGTAACAGCAGTGTATATTAATTTATAACTCTACGTATTTTTGCCATCAATTAAAATCCCTTCTCTCTCTCTTTTTTTATCAATAAAATTTTTAACTTTTTTTTTTTAAGTTCTTCGGTGTTGACCGAAATCGAAAAAGCGAACGTGCTCGAATTCGTCCTGACGTTGTAAATATATCTATGCGACTCGGTGGAAAATTTAACCGCCACGTCATTCGACGTTACGTTCCGAGAAAACTCGTGCGAGCACGGCAAAAGAGGGAGAGCGACGTAAAAACGTCGCGTTACAGCTCGCGACAAAGAGCCTGGCGGTTCGAAGGGCGGGAGGGGGACGTTCGGAACGATGGGGAGGGGCATTATGTAAGACACGCGGCTGCTACTGCAGCGAGAATTGCAGCACGCGTTTTTGGCAGGGAAGAACGTTTTCATTCCGTCCTCTAATGAGCACGCTCGTCTCTAGGGGGACTTATCGACGAGTTCTCCTCCCCTCGGTGCAGATGCTGATAGAAATTAATGGTGCAGTAATTCGTAACAAATGACGCAGCATTGAGGAAATGAAGTGAAAAACATTTTTCGAAAGACGATTGAAACGTAGAAAGAATGTAACGACAAAATTAATTGTAATAAATCCTAAAAAAAAGAAAACGAAAGTATTGCAGCTGGAATTGAATGGAAAATTTTACTAAGAAATGATTAGAAAGATTAGAAGAATGCAATTAGATTTTTTTTTTTTTTTTTTTTTTTTTTTGAAAAAATTATGATTTTTTCGTTTCTCTAAGAGATCGACGATTTCGCGAAATGGCACGTTTAGGAGAAGCTTATTTTTAAGTTCCAAACTTAAGCGGCGAGCTAGTTCTTGTTAATTTCGTAGTCAATGGCTTCTCTCTCTCTCTCTCTCTTTTTCCCTCTCTTTTTTGGCTTATAAACGCTTGCTAATTCGCTGGCTATCCTTAACCTTATCCCTCTGAAACTTCCAAGTGGCCCATTAAACAGCGCTAATAAATAAACCGTCTGAATTAAACGTCGCAGCCCCGCGATAGAAAGAAATAGATTGGTTCTCTCCCGTTGATCGATCCCGCAGGGAGCGGCGTTAATCCTTCGCAATTTGCGGTGGGAAACCGGAATCGATTGGTCGCAGGTGCGACACAAAGAACAAATGAAGGTGGGAAGTCGGGCTCGATAATGGCACGTAAATAAAGCAACGATGAAAAGAGCCGATAAATGGAAGAAAGAAGGGAGAAATCTTTGCAACTTTGATGGAAAGACACGTGACGAGAGGATCGGGTAAATTAACTAGAAAGTCAGGTTAACTTGAAAGCTGACCAGGGGTCGAATGCTACCAGTCAACCACTGTCGATAAATTATCGATGGAGAGTGTTCGCTGATTGTAAACGTCGCAATTTGAAGAGCGGCCTACGAGTCTGACTTATGACTGGCTCGTTCTACTTCGCCGCTTTCCGTCGTTTTTCTCTTTCTCTTCTACTTCTTCTTCTTCTTTTTTTTTTCTTTTTTAATTCCCAGTCTTGGCAACTCGTTCCCAAGCCACTCCCGAAATTTATTTCGAGCAACTACTTTCGAAACTGTAGGATAAGACGGCGTGTTTCTCGCGTCGGTGGAATTTTCGATCTGCTTCTTGCATCTGTGAGAAGTGTTTGAGTTTCATCGCGTGTTTAGAAATTGATTAATGACGTGCGTGATAAACAGTGGACGTAATCGTTTGCACGATTTATTTATTTTTTAAAAGAAAAGAAATTTTTCTTTATTTTTATTTTATTTATTTAATTTAATTTATTTTATTTTATTTTATTTTATTTTATTTTATTTTATTTTATTTTATTTATTTAAAAGAAAAGAAAATTATTCAACGCCTCGTTAATTTACATATCCTTTGTGATAGCAGAACTTTGTTCCAGCTACTTTCTCAGTTTTAAACGTGAAATGCACGGAGATAGGCGAAAGTGTTCGTACAGTTGACAAAAACTGATCGACGCTATAAACAAAATCGTACGACAGTCGAATTTGCTTCGTTTTAAAGCGTAAAATCTCCACTTTATCTACTTTAAGTTCTTTTTCTTCTTGATGTAGTGCAACAGATGGAAAGGAAAGAACACTTTCGAAAATTGTCAATTGCCTTCGAGATCACTGAAAAATTTTTTTTCATGACCAGATCTATAATAATCTTGAAGATTGAAGCCTTCTGTTTACATCAACTCTTTAAAACTTATTATTGTTTTGCATTTTATTGAACCTTGAATATCAGAGTTAAATGGCAAACATTCAAGAAATTCAAGCATTCTGCCATTTAAACATTCTGACCCTGATGTTTAAAGTTCAATAAAACGGCGAGAAAAAGTCGCGCAGCAAGCTTTAAGAGGTCGTTGTAAAAAGGAAACTTCAATCTTGAAAAAAAACTGTAGATTAGGTCAAAGAAAAATATTTTCCAGGTGCGTCTGAATTTCGACAATTTTCTCCCACGTGTTACACGATGAACAACATGAAAAACATCTTTGACTAAAACTAATTCAAAGCTGTCAAAGCGAAGGCTTCGCGTTTGAAAATGGTATTCTAAAAAAAAAAAAAAAAACTTGATGAAACTTTTTTACAAAGTAATAAATCTGACAGTTTGGAACAGAGACAACAGGGAATACTTTCGATATTGCTTCATTCTTTCGCTTTATTAAAATCTGATGGCAATGTTATTCCGCGCAAAATTGAAGGTCTAAGTTCCCAGGAATTTGGCTTCAAAAACTTGTTTGGAAAAATACGCGAGTTTTCGAGTTTCTCTTTCGTCATTCATCGTTCCCGATCGCTCCAGCCGGCCAAGCGAGCGTTCTTTTGTGAAAAGGCGTTGGGAGAGAAATCGAGGCCAGTAGGCAGCGATAATAAGGCCACTTTCACGCACGATCTCGCATTTTACGAGCCCGTTTTAATTCCTCTCCCCTTTCGCGAAACTTCGTTCTGCCTCTCCTCGACAACACGAACGGCCGAAAGCCACGAAAGAACAACCGCCAAGTGCACGCGCTCGCAAACCACTTTCAACCGTCGCTCAACTTGCCTTTTTCTCCGTCGGTGAAACAAAATCGCGTCCGATTCGATTTCGTTTCACCGCGAAAGCGACGAGCTTGCGGAGAGAGCGTGTCACGAGTTGACAGGTTGTGACACAACTGAGAGAAGAAATGATCGATACGGCGGAACTAATTGACAGACAAACCGACAACAGAATGGTTTTTGGGTGTAATCGGTCTCGAAGAGCCAAATATTATGACGTCACACGTGTCATAAATCAACTGGAAATTAAATAGTTTTCAAAGAACGTGTACGGTAAGAATACGGTAGATCAGCTTCAAAACTTCCACCTCGGTGTTGAGTTTAAGAGCTTCCTCTTGAACCAAGAACTCTCTTTCTTTTGGACAAGATCCACTTGCATGTCGTATATCCACTTTATCACCGTTCGCTGGTTTTAAGCTGCTGCAGAGATGGAAATTCGTCCCGTTGTCTAAGTTATGTTTGAAATTTTAATAACATTGGTTCGCTTTTCTTAACATCGTTAATTATAAATTTTCTAACATAACCTAATTTGTCTCTGAAATTTTAACAATATAGATACATTGCTCTTAATTTTCTAATATAACCTAATTGATCTTTGAAATTTTAATAATATTGAATCACTACTCTTAATATTGCTAATTATACGTTTTCTAACGTTATTCATTTTCTAACGTAACCTAACTTATCTTTGAAATTTTAACAATATTGGTTCAGTACTCTTAATATTGCTAATTATACATTTTCTAACATAACCTAACTTAATTTTGAAATTTTAACAATATTGGTTTAGTACTCTTAATATTGCTAATTATACATTTTATAACATTGTCCATTTTTTAACATAACCTAACTTATCTTTTGAAATTTTAAAAATATTGGTTTACTATTCTTAATATCGCTAATTATACATTTTATAACATTGTCCATTTTTCTGACTTATCTAACTTATCTTTGAAATTTTAACAATATTGGTTCAGTACTCTTAATATTTCGCTAATTATACAGCTATATATTGCTAATTATATATTTTCTAATATAACCTAAGTTATCTTTGAAATTTTAACAATATTGGTTCAGTACCCTTAATATTTCTAATTATACATTTTCTAACATAACCTAAGTTATCTTTGAAATTTTAATAATATTGATTCGCTACTCTTAATGTAGCTAATTGTACATTTTCTAACATTGCATTCTGTGACTGAATTAAACGTATTTTTTACTTTGTTTTTTAAACGTTTAATTGATTTATCTCTTAATCTGTTTCTTTTAATACTCATGGTATTAAATGAAATCTGTAAAGAAGAATTCACAGAAACGAGGCAATAAAATTTGAGACAAGAACGAGGCGTTCTAAAATATAAACGTTAACGACATATGATTAAATTACATGTTACATAATTATGCTATATAATATAATTACGTGTAAAATGTATAGATACATAATACTATAATACTATAATCCTCCGCATTGATTATAATGTATTTGTTCGTCGTAACTTTTCCAATTGAACAGTTTTCAGAGATAAGAACATTTCTGGCAGAATTGTATTTTGAAATATAGTTCAAGAGCGTTCGAGAGCCTTATTTTGTTAATAAAATAAAACAATATTTGCGCAAAGTTTATCGGCAATAAAGAATGAAACGGTAGCAAGGTACATATTAATTTTGATTTGAATAAAGAATAACGTAATAAAAAAAAAAAATGTCGATACTCGATTCCCTTTTATCGGATTTCCCCTTGACAGGAAGTATCGACAGAAAGATACGTATATGGAACGTTATATACGTTTAAAACATACATAACACACTTACACACCGTTACCAAGAATTTTAAGAATTTTTAACTTCGTTTCGAATACAAAAATACATATTAACTAAATATTGCAGCATCAATTTAAATTCACGAACAAATCTTTTAACAGCCACGTAAATTTATATTTCAACGTACGTTTTAACGAACGTTCTGATTATTTTCAATAATATTTCGCACGTTTAACGCGTCCTGTTTTATCTGCGTCGTCTAAAACATTTTCAATGTTTTTCATCTTGTTACTTTAAGTGAAATAATGGGAGTATCTTACAACTAATGGAGAAAATTTTTCGTTCTTCTTTTTGAACTTTAAATTCATTTTCTTTCCTTTTTTTTTTTTACTTTGGGATCGACGTTCCAACGATTTGCAGAAGGATATTTCTTTTTTTTTTTTCTTGAAGGAAAAATAAACAGAGAAAAAGGAGAAACTGCAGAGAAGATTGGCAGTTAAAGGAGACTGGTCCTGTGAAGGAATAGAGTTCTATCACAATAAATGTGAAGGATGGAAGGCACTAGAAAAAGAGACAGAAGACCTATGGAAAGAAATTAGGGAGAAAGTCAAAACATCAACGAGAAAAAAATCTGAGAATAGTCAAAAATTAAAAACTCGGAAAAAAGGATATGGCAGAGAGTGGAGCGAGAAGAAGAGAGAGGTAAGAAAGATCCTCAGAAGGGTAGTGAAGGGACAGAGCCAGAAGGAAGAATACACAAGAGCAATCAAAGAATATAAGTTGTGGTGTAAAAAGGAGAAAGAAGAACACGCAAAGTAAGAGGAAGACAAGCTAAGATAAAGGAAATCAAAACAGAAGCAGAAGCTTGGAAATTTATTAGTAAGTTTAGGTAGAGGAGAGAGAAAATGGAAATTCATTAATAAGGTTAGAAAAAGGAGAGAGAAAATAGACGAAGGGATAGAAATAGAGAAATGGGGAAAACATTTTATGAGTCTACTAGGAGGAAAAAAGGAAAGGATATGCTTGGAAATAGAAGACAGACTCGAAGAACAAGAGCAACAGAAGACAGAAGGGCAGGGAGAGATTAGGAAAAGAGAGGTGTGGAAGCAGCAGGCAGAGCTGAAGGAAGACAAGTTACCTGGATCAGATGGGATTGACAACGAAACATGGAGATACATGCTGAAAGAAACTCGGGGAAATATATTTGGACCTAATAAATAAGATCTGGAATGGGGAAGGCTTCCCAGAAGACTGGAAGATGGAAGATAATCACTCCGCTATACAAAAGAGGAGACAAAAGAGAGAAAATTACAGGGGACTAACCCTGTTAAATACGGCATACAAGATATATGCTGGAATATTTCTTTATTTCTTTTTTGAGAAACATGTTTTTTTCATATTTCGGCAAGCAATTACAAATCACAAAGAAACAGCTACAGTCCAATTTTTCGCTTCTTCCTCCCAATTATTGCGATACAAGATTAGTAATTTACTGTGTAAAGCCAAAAAGAAGAAAAATCCCCATTTTCTGGGGAAAATTAGCCCGTGTTAGAGTCTAAGAACCCTTCGGTTTCGAGTCAGCGCGTCGCGATCTCCTTTTGTTCTCCGTTAGTATCTCTCTAATAC